CTGGGGCGTCTTCGACGCCCTCCCGAGCAACAAAACGGGATGGCACTTCGGCATGCGACGAGCACTCGGCTGATGCATGCGATGGCCTCTGGGCTGCCTGACAATGCGAGATTGCTATTCGGGGTAGCCCCACACTTCAATGTCACATATTGTACAGGCTGGCTCGCAATGGCTCGCAGTCACAGGCAGCCTCAGATTCAAGACTGGCGTCCGACGGCGGCACAACGGCCGCGAATTACACAAAGCCAGAAAAGATCGGCAAGGAGCTCTGCCCTCAGTCATCCCCGTCCTTGTAATGACGCCGATGGTGGCTGTACTTGCGGCGCCGGCTTCCGTCATCGTCACCCTTGCGGCGACGGCCACTTCCATCGTCATCACCCTTGCGGCGCCGGCTTCCATCATCGTCGCCCTTGCGGCGACGGCTTCCATCGTCGTCATCACCCTTGCGGCGCCTGCTTCCATCATCGTCACTCTTGCGGCGCCTGCTTCCATCATCGTCACTCTTGCGGCGACGGCCACTTCCATCGTCGTCATCACCCTTGCGGCGACGGACACTTCCATCGTCGTCATCACCCTTGCGGCGGCGGCTGTCGTCTTTGCGGCGACGGCTGCCATCCTTATCGTCGTCTTTGGGGTATGGCGGATAGTATGGCGGATGGGTGGTTGTGGAGGTCGTGGAGGTCGTGAAGAACCTGCACTCGTTGTTGATCGCAGTGGTGGTTGTTGTCGTGGTGGTGGTTGTCGCCGGAGGGTGCTCGCAGTAGTGCTTGCACTCTGTGCAGTAGTGGTCCAATCCGGGCTTGAGCTGGCTGGTAAACTTCGATGTGCATCTGTGCTTGCACCACGAAAGCTCTCGACCCTCCAGGTTCATCCCAGAGCAGAGCATGTTGCACATGAATTGCTTGTCCACGCACCCATCGTCCGGAACATCGTCGTCACCGATGTCGTCACCCTTGCGGCGACGCGTGCTTCCATCATCGTCGTCCCCTTTGCGCCTGCGGCTGCC